CCCGCCGTATTCTCCAGACGTTGCTCCCTCTGACTATCACTTGTTTCGATCAATGGCACACGGCCTGGCTGACCACCACTTCCGGTCTTATGAAGTAAAAAATTGGATCGATTCGTGGATCGCCTCAAAAGATGACCAGTTTTTTCGACGCGGGATTCGTACGCTGCCCGAAAGATGGGAGAAAGTAATGGCTAGCAATGGACAATACTTTGAATCATAAATGTATAACCAGTTTTTTACAATAAAGCCTCGAATTTCGGAAAAAAAACGGCGGAAGCAAAGTTGTACACCTAATATATTACATTTTTCTGTTCTTCTAATCGATGATACACGTGCGAGTTTGCGTTTCTCTCTTGTAAACTTTACTATATTCCATCTTTCGGCGAATAAAACTACAAACAAAGATCTAACAAAGAAGCCGTATATGCATATATCGTGCAACATAAATCTCGTGAATTAGGTACGCTTCACTTAATAGGAAAGCGCCTATAACATATTCGCATAATAGGTCATAATTTTGCACGCTACACTCTTGTTATGTTTCTCTATATTTTGATCATAGAACACTAAATTACAAATTAGTCGACTCACACTGACAAGCATAAAATTGTACATATAACTAGATTGTTGACTCCCTTATATACCGTGTCAAAGAATGGACTCCAAAAAGTATATATTATACAGGCTATCTGACGCAAGACATACAAAAACATGTATAAAAGTAGAGCACGCCAACCTGAGCACGAAGACTTCTGGTATTTTGCAAACACCCACGTAAAATTTCAAGATATCGTTACACTGACGCTTGCACTCGTGCTCGCGCACAGGAAAATGAATGAACTTGTTTTTTAAAAGAACAAGAAGCTTTACTATTTACAGCAATTCCGTATAATTTTACAAGTTGAATACAAAACTGATACACGTCCGCTCGCAATCGCGACTCGTCGTCAACTCTCTCTTTGAAAAAAAAAAAATTAATAATAAGTTAGGTTTTAAGGTTACTAATCAAAACACCAAGATAATAGGGCCAATGAGAGTAAAAAAATCAGATGGTGGTATGTAAATAATTTAATCCAATTATAATAGTTTAGTAATTGATATATTCATAAATGTTTCGGTTCTTAATTTGAACCTTCTTCAATATTCAATTCTCTATTCGCTCGCATACAAAAATTTCTCTCTTTTATTTATTATAAAATAGCTGTTCATCGCCGTTGCTTAAGCAACCAGCAGCTGAGCAACATCCTTTCTTCTAACAACTGTCCTTCCGCCGCCAAAACAATCCCCGAACGCTCTTCCAGAGCGCGGGTACAACAATATATACTTTTCGTCTATTTTTTGGTAGCATATAGTATAAGAGAATTAGAAGTTTAGTTACATATAGAAATCTGTAATTAGATTCGCGTATATATGAACGTACAACTATGTACAGAACAATATTACGTGCTCTTGTCGCACAGGGCTTTCAAAATTAAATCAGAATTAGCTTTTAGTTCCTGCAAATTCTTCTTTAATTGAATACGCATACTTTCAGGTATACCGGACATTGTCCAACACTCAAATTTCGCGTTGGGAAGAGGTTTGGTGCGAGCACGGAAGAGATAATGAAGGTAAAAATAATCATAGAAGATCGAAAAATTGCACTTGTTATCTTTAAAAAAAGAGAAAAGTTATAAAATAACATAACAGAGCCAAATAATTATGCACTTGGAAATATCATATTATCGTCGTAGGAATTGTTGGAGAAAAAAATACTTAAGACTGGACCATATAGGCCAAACTCCGGTAGGGAAGTTCAATTACTGAGTCCTCGGGACAAAGAAATTAGAAGAGATTGGAATGAGACGAGACTCTACAAGGCACCTCCCTACATCCTGGGATATACCGGTAACATTTAGGATAATATTTAGAATTTTTCTTATAGATATCTTTTCAGCTATAATCAGTGGTTAAACTTCGAAGAATGATGATCATTGAGAGATATCAAGGTAATGATATTATTAGGAATATTTGTATCGTATCCATATCGAGATTTGTATCATGATCAGCCAAATATGGACAAGACGCCATATCGTACCTGTGTTGATTATTAAAAATTAATTGTTGAAAATTAATATGATGATACGCTATGATTTTCATTGATCTGGAGCTAGAGTCGATATTTTGCTGTTACACGAAAAAAATGATACGCGATACAGACGTAGTCAGTCTAGACACTACACTGATCTATATCATGAACCCTTCTTCACACGGAGAATAGGGCGGAAACATCCGCTTTTCTTTTTGTCTGTTGTTTTCCTTTTCACCCACCACCGCCGTCTTCCTTTCTTTCTTTTTTAACGTATAATAAATAAAAATGTAGTTAGCAGCAGCCAACTATACAGAGATATTGTCTACACACACTGAAAACAATGCAAAACTAAAAATACGGGTGTATTAAAAACAAAAAACTTTACTCTAGTAATACATATCAGTTGACTAACAGTTGGCCGCTATAGAGGAAGAGAGATTCTACATTGATTGTTATAGACTCAACATTGGCCTCCAATGCTTTGTGCTGCTCGGGCACACACAGATGCGGATACGGGATATAAATACAGATGGAAAACTAGACTTTATCACGGTATTATGTCAGCGTATCGTATCATGATCGGATACAGTGATACGATACAAATGTAGACTTTATAGCTTCTAGGTATTCACCGCGACCATATTGGACACGAGAAATAATACGCTGAAAAATCTTACGTGCTATTTTCAAGCAAAACGGTATTTAAATGAAAAAATATTTCAGATCACTTGAGTGTATATTTATAAAATACTCCGAAAACTATCATTTTTCTTTGATAGTCAATAAATAGTCGTAAAATTAATGTAATAAAATCAGAATAAAATGTAGAGGTTAAAGAGAAAGGTTGTTTGTCATATTAATTTTACAGCTATTTATTAACTATCAAGGGAAAGGAATAGTTTTTAGTATTTTACAAATATGCTCAAGCAATCTGAAGTTTTCTTTCATATAAATATCTTTTTATTCAAAAAGGCACGTTAAGAATTTTATATGTACATTTTCTCGCCATGAATCAACAGCAGTTCCACAGCAAGGAACCAGGAGCCTTAATCGCGATTAAAATATTAAATAATAATAATATTCATTCACGAAAAAAAACTCTTTATTATACATATAAAAAAAACGCGCAGATGAAACAGACAAAAAAAACAAAAAATCAGTAATGAAACAAAAAAAATAAAAGATTAAAAATAAATAAATAAGAAAGAAAATCTACAGATTTAGACTCAAAAGAGAGCGTTTAAAAGATCAACATTATTTACATGTGTTCGCCGCAATACATAATTTAGAAATGAATTAAAACCATATTAAAAATACTATAGTGCTTAATGCGAAAGATATAGTCTCTTTTAATTCTTTAGTATGAATATCAAATTTAATAAGATCATATATATCTGAACACAATTAACAAGACAAAAAAAATTAATATGTTTAAAAATAAATATTCAGTCTTTTTTTTACAGCAATAACATATTTAATTTATACAATATAAGTTAGTAATCGTAACAAACAATTACTACGAGAATTCTTATATAATATGCTGCCAAAAGTAAAATAATTTATGTATTCAACAAATCACGATCACAAGTAATAATCTTTCATTAAATTTCCGTTGCAAAAAATCGATGTTATTTTCATAGAAAACTATGAGATCAAAAAAACATGAGATAGCGATGAAAAAGTTTACCTTATCGCTTTAAAATACCAATATAGAAACTGAGATTACCTTGGCGCGACCTTCAGTACACGCGATTAGTGAGTACTAATCGACCAACTTAAATCGCTTGTAATTAGCAGTTTGCTTCGCGCGCACAATGGAATCTCCACGCCTATATACATGATGTTCTTTCGAAGTAATAGTAAGCATGAAGCTTTGCAACCAAAAATAAACTACCTCTAACAAGACCTTTATTTACTAAATATCGATGTTAATATAAAAAAATCCTTTCATTTAAAGTAAAAATTCATAGAGATTTTTAATGCGACATATTCCTCTTCTAAGCGATCGTTATTTGAAGAAGCCATCGTTCCGGTTTACCGCAGGATATATTCCAGGCTTCAGCAGCAGGTACGGACTACCCTTCATGAGAGCCGTGGAGGCCGGCGCCAAGGAGTGGCACGAGGCGCAAATGAAGCTGCGAGCACGACGAGACGCGATGAGGGCTCACGCTGAACGTACGGACCCGAGAAATCTTCTGTCCCGGGCGAGAGCGGACAATGTGGACATCGAGATCGATCATAGTCATGAGGGAGACAGAAGGACCTTCGGTATAGTCATCGCATGGTTACGCTTCGGTCACTCATTAATTGCTTCCGGCCCGATGTAGCACTGCAACAACGTTACATATTAACCAAAATAAAAGACTCTCGGTTCTAAAATACCACGACTGCATAAGATTTGCTTATTTCTATTGCAGATTATCATGTCTCACCAGAAAGACCGCCGATCGTCGGTTATACAGGCCACATCCCGGGTGCGAGAGGAGAAGTCGCACTTTCCAAGAGGTACGCTCAGGCCGCCAAGAAAGGGCTGGAACGCGTTCAAAGGGAACGTGAGGAGAGGCTGAACAGAAGTAAGGACATGTCCGCCGTGCAGAGGGTCCTCGACAATGCGTATCTCGACGAGACGGGACAGACACGCGCATAATTCACTTAAGACTCCTGGCCCCTCGCCGCGAAACTCTTGATTCATAACGTCAAAAGCAAGAAATAGACCCTAAAAGTTCTTGCAAAATACGTTGGATTAAAAAGATGTATCCATAAAATCGCAATTGATCGAACGGATTTGTAAAATTATCTTTATTTTGTTCAAACAATCAATAAATAACTGTCAATAAATAATAAGAAACAATCAATGAATAACAGTTAATAACAGTCAACAAATTTTCATTGATACTTATCAATAAAAAATTAATGTGATATGCAACCTTCCTTTTTAATCCAATCTTTTCTCATGATTTCGTTATATTAATTTGACGATTAATTTATTGATTGTTACAGTAAAATGAAATTGTTCAGACTATTTTTACAGATCTGTTCGATTGATTGCAAGTGTCATTTTATAAACATATCATTTTATTCCGATGTATTTTGTAAGAATTTTGACTGTGTATTGCCTCGCTCTACTGATATTATAAATTAAGATGGCTACAGGGAAATTGAAATCTTAATTTGACGAAACTAATTTTTATTAACACTTTGCAATCCGCCGACGGCATAGTGCAATCGCGATTATTTTTATATTCCAGTCTGTTGACAGCACAATGCCATCGCCTATTTGCGCTTTTAATATACTGGAATAAAAAAGCGCGATGACTTCGAATGGATCGCGGACCGTAAAATGTTGAACTTTGATTACTTATAAGAAAATGGAAAACTCGCTGAATATGTAAGATAAATCTCCGAAGTATGTTAGGCTCTTTTTGACTACTTTCAAAGTATGACAATCGAGAAAGAACAATCTAATCTACACTCTATTTTAGATTCTTGTTTACTTGGAGCCGATTTTTCAATAGTAGTTTAAACTCTGTCCAAACACATGAAACACGTGTGAACGTTAGAACAAACTTTAAGGCTCCTTGTATCTCGCCGCGGCTATGTTGAATTTGTAACATCGAGGAACGACATACTGACGAAAGTTACATATCATTTCTAAATAAAGATAAATATAGACGGAAGAGCACTTGAGACTGCTTGAACATACTTGTAAAATTATGCGAAAAAAGTATATCTTTTCTTAAACGATTAATAAATAGTCATATAATAAATAGAGACATGAGGCATGCAGACAAAACAGATCCATTTTATCATTTTACATGCCTCATTTCATCATTTATTATACGATTATTTATTGATCATCAGGAGAAAGGGATATCTTTCGGACAATTTTACAAATATACTCAAGCAAATGCTTTTATTTATATCTATATTCAGAAACGGCACGCGCAATTTTCGTTAGCATGTCATTTCTCGCTTCTGACAACACAAATCTGACATGGACGGTGAAGTACAATGAGCCTTAAATCCAAATCTAAATTGAAACTATTATTAAAAAATCGGTCCTTAGACGACGAACACGTGGGTCGTCAAAAACACACTTGCGCCGTATCCCTAATGCTCTCATATCCATGTAATCGCAAAAATAAATCTATATAATATACGTAAGTTATTTAATATGCTACGAGCTTCCAATGTTCATTAAGATTATGCACACACTTCGCACCTACGCTTCGTACTTAATGCAGAAGAAATACAAATTTTTGGAAATATTTCTACTGGGAAATATCTTCAAAGAAATTGAGAAACGTCAATACGTGCTAGTTCCATTTCGAACGAAATGAACACAGACATACACACGTCCAACTTTCAGAATTTGTGAAATGGATCATAGCCAATGTATAAACAGTTCAAACAACATTACATGATATTATTAGCAAAATTTTACTTATCGAAATGTAACTATGTGATACTTATCTGTATAAATAAAAGTTGATCCGTCTCCTTTTTGATAGAGTAATCACAATACAAATGTATGTATGTATAAAATGGTATAGTTTTTTTAATCGGTAATAAGATAATTACAAAGATGTATAAACAGAATAAATATTTGAATTATACAGTATCACTTAACATAGGTTGGATTATGATAGCTTCTTCTTTACTGTATCATTGACAGTCAACCGCGCTGCGGAAGCCTACTCATTCTCTCTGTTTCCAATTGTACAGTTCTATTCCAACATTCTGTATCCAGAGTTGTTTTTCCATATGATATAGACATCAATCTGGCAAAGACTATCAATGCGTGCAGATTGTCCGCATTTATATTCTCGTTTGAATTTCGCATTTGTACAAAATAATCTTGAACGACCTAAAAAAAAAAAGAGGAGAGCATAAGTATATATATAAAAATATATATTTAAATTCAAATTTTAATTAATATAGAAATATATACAAACTACTAATATAATGTTAATGTAATAACAAAAGTATCGACTATATATATAGATAGTATCAAAAATTAATTATATCGTTTAACTAATATACCTCCGTGATTTGTTCATCAAAGACGAATTCCGTATGTCTTAATGCTTCCAAGTATTGACGAATATTCGCCAATCGATTCTCTTCCTTCAAATATTGAAGCGCAGCTTCAAGCACCTTAGTATATAAATTTTCCGATTCTGCATCAACATTTAAAATAACTTGCATGGGACACTGCAAAAAAATATTTTATTGCCTAATATTTGCTGATCAGATACAATATATTTCATAACGCAAATAAACACCTACCGAAATAAAAGATTTTACATCGGAAAAGATTAACATTGGAATATCCGTTTCGTAATCCATTGTGTAATATTTGAAGTCGTATTTCAGTTTCTGAAACATAAGCAGATCGGAAAGCGCTTTGTAATTCTCCTTGCCGGTCACGGTGAGATCACCGGCAGTTAAGCCTGTCTCATCCAACACCAGATGTGTGTTATCGCTTAATTGAAGAACACCGCTCGTCAATCTATTACATTCATAATCTTTCCTATCAAAAAATGACAAAATTATTTATCGTACAAAATATTTTTACTAATCACATATGATACCAATATTCAATGATACCAACTTACTTTGGAATTAAAGCTAATTCGTTCAAGTTTTCCAAAGTCACTTCTAAGAAGTGACTTTTCTTGACGAATAACGTTAAAAAATTATAAAACGCTTTTGGAAAAGTTCTGAGTTTACTGGCTGGAAAATTGGTTATGTTTAAAGGAAACGCGCCGAGACAGAAATAATCCTTCCTGACATATCTGGAAAAAAAATTATGAAACAAAAAGTTCTATACATATGTGTAAATTTTAAAAAGCAAATTTTCCGATAAAAACATACATGGCAGAGAGCAAATGGCATATTAAATAATCAGCAGCTAAGTGATCTCCAAATAATAATTGACTCAATATTATGTGTAAATCGCCCCTGATGAGCTGTGCTTTGGATATAATTTCCGGAGGATTTGCAATCTCAGATTTGTTAAGCTCTACTATTTTCACTGCATGTAATCGAGGCACCAGAGAAGCTGGCGGATTATGAGTATTTATTTCGGCTTCGTTCATCTCATCTTCTGAAGTATGAATTGTACTTAACATCGGATCTAACGATATAAATCCTACTATGTCGACAACTTGGTTCAGTTTCAAGTTTGTTCCATCATAAACCTGAAAAATATGAATTAAAGCATATAATTTTCTCAGATTGGATTTTTAATGAGGAAAATTCAACTTAGAATCTGCAAAAAATATATTGTCTAATATATATTCTTGCGTATTTCTTTAACAATAGTAAAGATACCTTTACTATGAACATTACTTTTACATTACCTTTACTAGAACAATAGTAACATACCTTTACTATGCAAGCTTTTCCTCCATCAATTGGGATAGGAAAATTCAATATATGATCTTCTGAAACTATACTTTGAACTTTACAATTACTATCACTCATATTTATGTCAATATTATCTCCCAGAACTTTTTCTTTCTTTGCAATTGGCTCTGAACAATCCATTTCCTCTGTATCATTATCATCTTGATCATTTAGAGTTCGTTTACCTGTACTATTGTTGTGTGTTGCACTTGTATGTGTATCAGACTGTTCTACATTTGTACTTTTTTCTTTCACCCACTGGTTTAAACCAGGTATAGAAATCACAATATAAGTTTGCCTTTCTGAGTTTTCATTTTTGTTAGACTCAAAGAATATTTCTTCATGTGGCTGCGTGTATACAAAATGGAGGTTAAAGATCTTGTACAACATTATCATAAGTTTTAAATCTCTCAGAATGAATGTATGCAGTGATATACATGAGATAAGCTATTCTTGAAGCTTCCCACACCTGGACTGCATAATTTTAATATAGACTCTGCATTATATCCAAATTGCTCATATTACAGGAGCCAGGATGAGACATTCAGAGACCTTATTTTCGAAAAATACCGCATACGATATTTCTATGAAAAGCTATAATTCATGTTATGTATATTATAGCTTTTTATTGAAATATCGTATCATATATTTTTTCAAGAATACAGCCCCAGAATACAAAGAACAATAAGTTCATAACAATAAGTATTGAATACTTTATATTGCAATACTTCTACAGAGTCAAAATAAGTAAATTTTAAATATATAAAGAGAATTTACAAAATTTTGAAAGATCTGTACAATTCTTTATTTCTTATAGAAATAATCTAAGAAAACAGCAAAGATATCAAATTATGTTCAAGCCAAAAAAAGAATGATTTTAAAGAAATTATGGTACACAAAGAAAAGTGTGTAAAAACTTCCATAATTTTCAAAATTTTTCAAGTCCTTATGTATAAATAAACAAGACTAAATATAAGAAAATAAAAGATAACTTACCAAGCAACAAGCTAAATCTGTGTACATTCCATATCTAACATTGCTTTCCCCAGTTCTAGTATTCTTTACTTCATATTGTTTAAGGTAGTATTCGGGGTCATACATATCCTGCACCATACCTCGGAATCTTACCAATTGCTTGTCTTTTATATTGTGTAACTGAACATCATTCAATAAAGGTATTTCTTTCAATATATCAGAATTGTCTAAAATTTGCTGACAAGATGACTGGTTTGTAATATAATACTCTGAAGACCAATTTCTCACTTCGGTAGCTAAAAGAAACCAAATATCTTATGGTACAACAAATAAATCATGTAAAAATGAAAAATTTAAAAGATTCATTAATTCGTTGTCCAATTATTTATTGTATACTTTCTATCTTTTCTTCTTTCCCTTTCTCAAAACTCAAAAGTACATTTATTTCATTTCAAATACAAGAATATAAGAAAGTATAATTGAAAAATCAAACTTTATCGCTAATTTCAAATAACTCATGCACTTATTAAATGTAATTATATATACCTGTCATGTTGAAAACGAAGTATTCCAATGTATTGTTAATTACTATACACAATCAATAAGAGTAATTTATACACGTGCTCTCTTTCACAATTCTTATTTCAACGACTGAATTTCTATACTGTCAAAGATATAATAACACTTCTTAACTTTCCCTTTTTCTTTCAATGCTCATTTTCCACAGAAACTTAAAAAAGTTACGATAACGGTAATCATATAATCAGATCTAAAAGATTTCTTCTAAGAGCCATTTTCACTGAAACAGGCGGAAAAACATCGGTTACACGACATTTTCCCGAAAACTAGATGGTAAAATGTTGGTACCAACAAAAACCCCTAAGTAACATAATTTTAATTTCTACGGATTAGTGACAGTTTGTTATTTGACACATAAGGGACGTCTACATTGGAAATAAGCAGTAAGAAGTAGGAAGTAAGAATAAGAAATTGACCAATCATAGTTGATTATTCTTCTCACATTCGACTGTGGTTGGTCAATTTCTTACTCTTACTTCCTACTTCTTGCTATTTACTTCCAATGTAGACGTCCCTATACATATGCATATGTCAAAACGACTCCACAAAATTCATGGACTTGCTACTTCTACAATATCACTAATCCGCAGAAATTAAAATTGTTGCCTAGGAGTTTTTGTTAGTATAACCATTTTCCCATCTAGTTTTCGAAAAAATGTGTAACCAAAACATCGTATCAGCTAATTCTGGACTGCGTTCCAAAGCTCTACTCGACGGGTAGAATAGTATTTAATTGACCAATAAGAATAAAGATAACTAGGATTTCTTTATCATGATTGGACAATTAAATATATTCTACCCACTGAGTAGAATTTTGGAACGCAGCCCAGGGGTCGTACTCTTGAAAAATATTTATACAATATTTCGATAAAAAACTATAATATACGTAACATGAACTAGTTATAGTTTTTCATAAAAATATCGTATGCGACATTTTTCGAGGTCCCAGCTACCTTATTCTTGAAATAGTTGCGTATACATAAATTTTACTGCGCAGGTTTAATCATACCATAAAATAACTGCGCAGTAAAACTAAAGCGTCTTCTACAATGGCAGTAGGAGTAGTAGTAAGAAATAAGCAGTAAGCAAATTGACCAATTCCATTCTCAAGTTTCAAAAATAATCGATTGTGATTGGTCTATTTACTTACTGCTTATTTCTTACTACTACTCCTACTGCCATTGTAGAAGACGCTTTACGTATACGCAACTATTTCAAGAATAAGGGCCCTGGGGCTTTTTGATTCTTGATGGTATGCAAATGAGATACGCATGCGAGAATCTACAGTATACGTAACGTGAACTATACATCTTTGCATATCTCATTCGCATGTCGTCAATCAAGCCGCTGAAAGGGGAGCGTCCCAATGTAGCACGGTACGATTGGACACAACCAACCGATGCAAAGGATTATCTAGTGAATTACCAGGTCGAACTAATTATTACAATCTGTGTCCAATCGTACCGTAGTGAATCGGGTCCATCTTAATCCGATAACCTAGGGAACTTTTTCTCTAAACAATTTATACCACTGCGATTAATCCTATTGGAAACCCAATTGCTACACGTAAACATCTTTTTTGAAGAAAATTTTCTCAATACTTATAGTTCACGTTATATATACTATAGAGTATCGAGTAAAATTTCCTTAAAAAAGACGTTTTGGAATGCAACCCAAATTCTAAACACACTTATAAACATTTATAAGCTTACAGCGCTTACACGCGTGAACGTCCAAAACGAATGCAGTCATCGTCTACCTCTTTATAAATGTAATTTTAAGTGCTGCTTCTTGAGAAGCTTTGTTCGTCGGACGATGGCTTATAACTTAAAAAATGAAGAGGAAGTGAAGGAATACTTGAAGAACTTACACATCGAATACCAGTTTAGCTGCTATAGCGAAAAAAAGCCAGAAGGTAAATAAAGATATCATATAGCACGCAATACCAAATCTAACCTAAAAACTAAAACTGCTTTACGGATAGTGTGCCATCTATTGGGCGATTATTATGAAAGCCTAGATCAAAATTTGGAAAAGGCCGCATCGATATACAAAACGACTTGTGACAAGTATAATTATGGCAGAAGCTGCACGAAATACGGTGATTTTGTGGCGCTCGGTGAGTAACTGTACGGTAAGAAATAATTTTGACTGATAACTAGACATTATTACGATTATCATTCCAGAAGAGAAAATGAAAGTATCGACATTTTTTTTTATCGACCGTTCAATATGAAAAAAAAGACTGCAATTACATTCTCATAAGCACTGCAAGTTTAAAAGGATACATATATTTTTATAAAATAAAAATTAAATTAGAGAACCTCATAAAGAAAAATATTTCACAATTTTACTAATCTTCATAGAAATATGTTGGTCAAGATTAAAATTACATTATGTTGATATCAACATCAATTAAATAAAAAAAAACATTTGAAAAATCCATTATATGAGGAGTGAACCTCTAAGCAAACTGTAGATCACATTTTTTCAATGCTCTCATTACGCAAAGAAAGTGACATTTTGAAAGTAAATCTATTTTAATTACAGACCCATTTTATTCGATAACAGATATTGTATTCACTGAAAATATAAAAGATTTCCTCCTATCGGAGGAGTTTTTAAAAAACATAAATAGAATAATTTAAAAAAAAAGCTTGAACCAATCCATGATTATAAAATATTTCTATTCATTTACAATAAAAGTTCACAATAATTTGAATTACAATACTCTCACACTATATTTTTTGGACAACAGACAGACTTTTGGAATAGGAATCCTTATTCAAAACTGATAATAAGAAGTGTTTTTAATTTTTCAATTTCTACAATTGCTCTAAGATTTTGTAAATACATATTTATATTTGCTCTTAAAATACTTTCCTAAAAATATATAGTAATATATATCTATATATTTGGTATTTGATTCATTGTTTCTAACCATGATATTTATCAAAGTACACATATATATATAGGTATGTTAAATAATTAAAAAAATTTTTTTCTAATTATGCAACTTCCATAAAACTCTCAATTATTATAAATATTTTGTTGATTGAAACAATGAATTATATTTCTTTTAATACTGTCCTTAAGAAAAAAATCTATTCACAATTATTCAAATGTTCTATAGATAAGATTGATCTAATAATTCAATCGGCACATTATATGTTCACTATATAATATATTGAACACACACATACACAGACATATAACTAAAGTTATAAATTCAATATCACATGTTAAATAACGTGAAAATTAGTGCAATGTTGTCATTATAGTATAGTTAATGTTAAGTAAATATTATATATTATGATCTCACCTTTTCTAAAAAATATACAAGTGTATATATATATATATATATATATATATATATATATATATATATATATATATATATATATATGAGATTTTATAATTCATTGATGTGACAGACATATTATCATTTTAATAATATCTACTATAATATATTTAATAATATATTATCATTTTAATAAATCATAATAGCTACAAAAACAATCTAGTCTGTTAATAATTGTGAATAAAAAAAATAATATACATATAACTAATATATGTTTAAGATATATTTTTTATAGTGATGCTACATTATATATATTTTTTTATTTTAATTTTTTTAATTTCTAGTAAAGAGAATATATGTTTTTATTTTCTAAATTATATAGCAACAACTAAATATGTCAACTGGAAATTTATATGCATTATAATATTCTTTTTTCTGTTTCATACAGGTAAAGGTTGTAAGAAGGACATACAGACAGGATACAAATATATGTCGAAAGGTTGTGAGTTAAACGATGAATATGGCTGTTTGCATGCTGGTATATTAGGCACATCTAAGAACGATATAGGAGAGAAAGACAGGGCCACGCAGATTAAGACGGGTGTCCAACAACTGAAGAAAGCCTGCGATATGTTCAATTCGGATAAAGCGTGTTTCTACCTTTCGGGAATATACTTGGCTGGCCTAGAAGGCATTATCGACAAGAACTATAAGGAGGCATATAAGCTATCTTTGAAGAGCTGCGAGTTTGGCAATCCGTATGCTTGTGCAAATCTGTCGCAAATGCACAAACGCGGAGATGGTGTACAGAAAGACGACGCGCTTGCCGAGATCTTCCAAAAACGCGCTTTGAAACTGCATGCAGAATTAAAAGCTGTACAGCCAGAATTGAAGTTCCATCAAGGCGTGAATCCATAACACTCCTTGATATTAGCTGCTTAAGACGTGATTTTTGTTGCACGTCAAACTGACGTTGCGTTGTACGATGTGTCTGTATGTAAGTTTTGAAAATGAATATCAACTGCCAAATTTCAACATACACATCTGTTGCCATCGTGACGTATTCGAGTGTCCGTAGCATAAATTGTTAATTTAATCTGTATTACAAATATATGTTATAATTGTTTTACTGATTGTTTTATTTGATCAGATTTTCCTTGTGTGCAATCCTCTGAGTCAAATTTATGTTACAAATTAATGAATTTCAAAAAATATTTAGAAAAACTCACTGGTAAGACTCTTTGAGTTATATCTATAATAAAAAATAAAGAATAGAAGTCTGGCTAATATATATGAGGTGATTGATATACAATCACCTAATTAAAGATTGCAATGCTTTTCTTCAATAAGTTTTGCAAATTCTCTTATTAGATATAAAATGTGTTATGAAACTCATCAAGGAAGTGTTGCAACATGTAATGTTATGCTGAGAAACAATTAAAGTTAACACCGCACCAGCATTAGCGTTGGTATGCATGAAGCACGTATATGTGTCGGTGTGCACTAACGATATCGCACCAAAATGTCTTTGATTTCATCATTAAAGGATAGAAATTAGAAATAACACACAACATAAGTATGCATATATTGCATCAATCTAATAGATTTATGCTACATATGAATATTTACATATGTACATATTCACATACATACATATATATACGCGCGCGCGCGTGTGTGTGTGTGTGTGTGTACAAAGTGTTCAAAAGGTTCCGGCAAAATATCTTGAAAAAGAAATATTTAGAAAAAGAAATATTTTAAAGAAAAATGTTAAATACAAAAATTATTATAAATATCAAGGAATGCATTAACTAAGCATCTTAGACCTTGGCTTGAGTTTTCAAGATTAAGTAAAAATCACATTAAATTTTTTAAATGGAATCATATAGTTTATTTAAAATAAATCAATTCCTCTGATTATTCTACACATAAAAATTCCCAGCTAAAATCATCAAAAAGTGAACACTTTCTGAAATATTTGACGTTTTATCCTCAAATTTTTTAATACAAGATATGAAATATCTTGTACACTATTAATTTTTCGACAACCTCATCTTAATATTTTTGTATATGGAATAATTAGAATAATCAATTGGCGATATTAATTTTTGCATATTGGTGTATCAATAAATCTGTGTGTGTATATATATTTAAGAAATGGAGATAAAGACTGTGTTTCAAAATTGCTGATAGCGCTGAAAATCTATAATATATGTAGTGTAAATTGTAGCTTTCAGTGCTGACAGTGAATTTTAAAACATAGACAATATGTTATAAAGTTATGAAAAAGTTTTCAAAAGTATATTCTTAGGTAGAGATACTGAACAAAGTATGCAAACATTTAATATATACTTTATGATGCAATTATAAATAGCACAACATGATTAAAATATATTGTTTTAAAAAATACTATTTCATTAAGCTATATTTTGATTCTAAAAAACGTTTACTTTTAATTTTCATAATAACTTTTCATAACTTAAGATTGATTGATCCATTTGTCGGCAAATAAACAGTAATTTTCATGGCATCAGATGCCTTTTTTTTATATACTAGTAATATTCTTATTGTGTGTGAACGCATTTTTACATATTTATTGCAATTGACGATTTTCTAATTTTGAAGTTCTTAATTCAGCCATTATTCAGACAATATGTCAAAATATGTCTATCTAAGTTGATCTAAGTTTACTTTATACACAAAATATGTAAAATAGTTTTTACATTTTTAATATTTACTTTATTATCACATTAAATTCCATATCATATCATTTTAATTGACATTTCGTAGCATGAAAGGCGAATGTATAAGGTAGATAACACTTATTAGCTCTTGCATTTTTTGCACTCTTTGGACAACGTTGATCTCAATTATTGCACTTTTTTCTGCCTCTATCTTGAATGAAATAACAAAGTTAATAATAATTTGCGTTTGTGCATAAACAAGTGTGAAAAGAAAAATAAAATAAAACGATGATTTATCTTGGAAAATTCGTAATATCTTGGGAAAGATGGAAGATATGTTTTCCACTGAACAACGATTATGTGTTCAACGGGTTACCAATTAGAAGTGCAATACAACTGTTATACAACATACGTGTTATATAAGTTATATTGTTTAGTAGGAAATTACAACTAACATGTACGTTACATGAGATGTTGTGTTTGCTGAGTATAACTCAGAGAATTCTTAACAAAAAAACCTTTATACTATTTTGAAAACACGTTAACTACAAGAATAAGCAATAAAAAATATAGGTTTTCATTTAGGATTATTACGTTGATTTTTATTTCACTTTGGCAATGCTAGTCGAAGCCGAACTAAAATAAAACTAAATATATCTTTTAAATAAATTAATTAATTAAAAATATAATTTAAATCAATACTCACTAAATACATCTTATAGTATTAAACTTTTATTTCGAATATTTTTTTCTAAAATATTTTGTTTTCGAAACATACCGGTACATTTTTCGCACATTGTATATACATTGCAGACAATTCGAAATAAGCTCTTTTCAAAAGAACTTGCTTATTTCTGTACTAAAACCTTTGACATCCGTCAATTACGGTTATCATAGCTCCAGACCTCTCAGACTCCAGATAGTCGGATCAATGTCCGAACAAAATGTCCTTTACTAATGTCGCGGAGATTAGTCATTATTATCGATTATCTCATTTCACTCTCTCCCTCTCTCCGAATATCCCTCCTCGTTGCTTTTCGTCTGCCCCTCTTTGCTGCTCTCACGTTCTTCACCGTTTGCGGATGCTACTAGTCGCAACGAGTTAAAGAGCACCTTCTCTCGAAAGAGTTTATTCGTTAACGAGCGGCACAACCATGCGGTACTACCTGTTCAACTCGCGGGCCTGGCTGGCGATTGCCGCCTTTGTTGCGTTTTCTTGTCACGGTGGTATGGTAAGTAACAAATTTCCAACCGTAATGGACTAGTAAATCTGTAAGCACAATAGTTGTTATCCGTAAGTGATTAATCAATATTTATAAAAATTCGGCGGAGTGATTCCACACAAAATACACAGAATAATATTTGTAACAGAATATCCATAGATTTGATGGAATTACTGAATTAATCGCTTCTATCAAGTAATATTTTAATAATGTATGTTATCTTTTATTACTATTTTTATTGTTCTCTGCTTAATAGCGAACTACACAATCAAAATTGCTTGAAATCGTTCCTATTAATTTCTCTTGATTGTTTTCCGTAAAAAAAAGCATAAAATATACGAGAGAAAGGAAATGATGCTTAATATTTATAATCTTTAAGCGCATAATTATCATATAAATTTTATTTTAAGAGCAATTCATCGTTGACCTCTGGGAATAACATCGTGAACGTAGATATCTACTACGAGTCGTTATGTGGCGATAGTAAGCGATTTATTACAACTCAGCTAGCACCGTCGTATAGACAATTGAAGGACTACATCCACGTCACGTTGATTCCTTACGGTAAAGCTACGGTAAGTAAATGTTTAATCGCATCTTTTGGATCTTCATCCTTACGATAGAGAGGCGGCAATCAGATAATAGTATCTTAAGTGTTTTGTTTGTCAACCATTAAAGTTTCCACTTATTAATCCACTTATTAATTGATATAATGGTGCTCGATGTAACTCAATCAAGATATTCTAAAAAATACAGTTTCATGTATTTTAATAGAATCAGTAAATTTTTTCATTTTCTCTTTTTTCTTACTTTTTTCTTCTATTTGTATTTCATTTTTATGTCGAGTTTCTTTTGGGAGCTACTTTAATGAGAAAGAAGGATAATTTTTGTCCATTATGCATATGGGACTTATGAATCACTCCAGGCACAAAGGATCGTTAGTCCGTCTCGCTCGTGTCCTTGAGAACACGAGAAGATGGCCTTCCCATCTCCTCATTTTTGCACACCTGTTTTGCGTCGATCGCGAAGAACGTGCTTTTAAAGCCGATGTATTAATGCAAATTGATGGCGTATACCTGTAGCATACGCGCGAAAGCGCAACCAGTCCGTGGCAATTCCAATGTCAACACGGACCTTCCGAATGTCGCGGTAATAAGGCCCAATCGTGCGCCATCGATGCGATAAAATCCTCCGAAACCGCCGAGAAACAGGAGCAACTGATGGTCAACGTGGTAAATTGTGCAATGTCCAGCAGAAACCCGTCGACCGCTGTGCCGCAGGTGAGTTATCACCATAATTTTCCACCTGGCTACGTTGACGTGACTCATTAAAGTACCATTGAGGCCGCAACCAACAAGTGTTCGTGTCGAAGTACCTTGTAATTAATCTCTGTACTGCCGATGGGCAAAAGTCAACGAACTGACATTTAGCTGTAATTACAACAAGACCTTTTGACACACTTTCTCATCGAATTCACGGGATAGCGTGTCATGGGAGATACCTGCATCAGACAATTCTGAAAAGGTGATTAAGTAATGAGATTTAGAGATATTTTGGTAATTCTGTTTTTGACAAAACAGTATTTTTTAAACATTGCGATATTAAGACATTTAAACAAAAAATAAACGAATAAGATAAATCAATTAAAGATATGCGTATATTGAGAGAAAAATTGCACAGAAAATATTTACTCGGTAGGTATTACTAACATATCAATTAAATCTAAAGATTTTTGTTTAAACACAAAATAATTAATTGCTTTCATGAAAAGCAACGGCTTTAGGAAAATATATCCAAACAGCACGAGCTCTAAAAGTGACGCATAAGATGACTTTAAGAGGTCTTTTAGTTATGTTTATGACACCTCTAAAAAATGTATCATAAAGATGATTAAAAGGCATCTTAAAGTTATCTTATGCGTTTTTAGAACTCATGCTGTCTGGGTATTTTCTCATTTAAGAGAAATGTTTTTTCATATATAAAAATATAAAATATAAATGTATATAAAATATAAAAATATATAATATAAAAATATCCAAACAACACGAGCTCTAAAAGTGACGCATAAGATGACTTTAAAAGGTCTTTTAGTTATGTTTATGACACCTCTCAAAAATGTATCATAAAAATGATTAAAAGGCATCTTAAAGTTATCTTATGCGTCGTTTTTAAAACTCATGCTGTCTGGGTATTTTCTCATTTAAGAGAAATGTTTTTTCATATATAAAAATATAAAATATAAATGTATATAAAATATAAAAATATATAATATAAAAATATGTATATTAATATAATTACATTATTAGTATAACTATATTATTAGTAGCCATTGAATACATATTTTCTTACTTTTTAGATTTTTTTATCAGTATATATATATCTCTCAGTGATACAGGATAACCTTTTAATATTAAAATTACAAAATCTTGATAAAATTCTTTCAAGACGCTTGTTTCTTTGGCAAAACTTCGGCAAACGCGTAATTATAAAGTTATTATCAAAAATAGTTACCCTATTAACCCCGGCCGGGATCAAAAAAAGATAGGCAACTCACCGTGACACGCCAAGGTCAGGTGCCCGCTGTAGTCAGTTCTTCGCCACATTAGCTACGTTCCAATATTTATTGTCAAAATACAATCTCTATTGTGTATAAGAAAGATTCTTCTAACTGGCAATGTTGTAACTTGTAATGTTGCAATTGTGCACACATACACACACATACGGCAAGCACAACCTACCTCTCGATATTACTCTTCCGACCTCTTTTACTCCTACAATCAGAATCAAAAGAAATAACACTACTCAACTAGATCATCGTTAATCGCAATCGGTGAATTGTTCGGTGACTGCCAAACCTTGGAAAAAACACATAAAATAAATACCCTCATAGCATAAGATCTTGAAGGGATATCTTGGGGACTTGTGTGGACATTTAGAAGTTCTCGGAATATTTTTAGGATATTCTGAGGACTTATGCGAACATTTAGCAATCCTCTGGATATCTTTGGGATATCTTTTAAATCTTGTGCTATGTGAGACAAACACGTGTTTCTCCCAGGGATTATCAAAGACGTGCTTGCCGTATATGTGCGCGCGATTACAACATTACAAGTTATAACATTGCCAGTTAGAAGAACCTTTCCTACGCACAATAGAGATTGTGTTTTGGCAATGGGTAACTACTTTTTAGTAATAACTTTACAATTATGCGTTTGCCGAAGTTTTGTCAAAGGAAAAAGTGTAGAATTTTGTAAAGATTTTTAATAAGATAATTTTAATATTAAAAGGTTGTTCTGAATCATCCTGTATATCTCCAAATCTGTTGTTATTTATCTATCTTGCTATATTATCAAGAATATCTTAGTACCTGAAATATAAAATTAAATTTAAAATACTTACTCTTATGTAACACTCTAAATTTTGAGATAAGATATTATAATATATATTACACAAACTATGCATATCTTAATTTAATGAAAGAAATAAGATGTAGAATAAAATAAGATATTATTCAATAGACCTGCACACTTTAATTTGATTAAAGAAATATGATAACACTATGATATAATCTGAGGATATGAGATAAAAATTATTTAATTAACGAAATGTACGCTATGATGTAATCTGAGGATATATGAGATAAAAATTATTAGATTAATTTTTATAACGATTTTATCTATTTTACCCACTTTTGCATCGAAAATCTTGAAATGATATCAAACCTAAAAATAATATATTCTGATTTTATAAATAAATTTTAGTTAATTTTACAATATTTATATTCCTGTTTACGCAACCTTTCTGAGAAATTAAGTGATATCTTAGGCGTAAAATACAGAAGAAATGTGAATACAATATCTCAAAACGTGTTCCATGAATAGTAACTGATGCGTTTTATGCTTTAATTATATGCACAGTGTTGTAAAATGTTTCATGTTTGCCAGCTCACACGAGGCAGCAACTATAACTTGCTCCGTTATGTTTTTAGTCACCGCGGTCGGAACAGGCAAAAATGTTTAATGCATAAGACGATGTGTTTTAAAAACAAACGTAACAAACGATAAAAATATAAGAAGGATATAAATGTCAACGAATGTCAAATTTTAGTGTGCTCAAAATTCTGGCGTGAGTGAAGAAACGAAAACAGCAATCGACAGCTGCATTGAAAGCTCGCTCGGAGACGATTTGCTCGCTGCGAACGGTGATAAGACGGCGGCCCTCAATCCACCGTTGGCATTCGTTCCGACGATAATCATCAACGGGGTAAGACGTACAATCATGATATATTGCTTTAAAACACGATTATATATAAATTTTTATTTTACATTCTCGTCCTTCTATTATTTTTCCAAACGATTTCTCGGAGATTTTGTTGCAAAACGTACAGTAAAATTCTGTTTACTTATTTATCTGTATCTGGCAAACTAATTCTCTTGTATAATCATATGTTATTTCAAAAAACGATTATATACAACCCAGACAACACGAGCTCTAAAAATGACGCATAAGATGACTTTAAGATGTCTTTTAGTTATTTTTTAGTTATGTTTGTGATATCTCTAAAAGATGTATCATAAAGATGACTAAAAGGCATCTGTAAATTATCTTATGCGTCGTTTTTAGAGCTCATGCTGTCTAGGAAGTTTCTACTTTAATATAATAGCTGCAATGTTGCTACTAATGTTTCTGTTGATTGCAAACACTTTTCTATTATTTTCCCAAATAATTTCAAACATTTTATTCCGAAGCATATAATAAAATTCTGCCTGCTTTATTTACATCGAGCGAACTAATTATCCCGTGTGTGCACAGGTGTATTCTCAGGAGAATCAAGACGAGGCGTTGCGCAACTTCGTCGGATTAATCTGTCGACATTTGACCGAGAAGCCAAACGTGTGCGTGAATTGAGAGGAGAATCGAGAGAAAAAGGAAGAAATAAACTAGGCCAACTCGCGCGAGTTAGAGGTGCGGGGACAAATAATCGCTCTCGCGGTCTAAATAAACGATATATTGTTTGCTTATCATAATATTCATATGTGCCTATGTACAAAAATATATATGATTTGTCAAATACAACGATACTAATAAGTATAAAAATGTTCGTATAAAAGAGAGAAGAAAAAAAAATAAAGAAAACAAACGAGTCTTTGGAAACGCAGCGCGTCGCGCCGACAATGAGATCACGACGGTAGGATGAGAGGAGTGTCCCCCTTCGCCCCTTCGGCTTCGCCTCCATGAAAGAGCGAGAAAAAGCGGTTCTCCCGCTGAGGGAAATTATCCGTCGATGAAAATAGCGTCGTCCAGGGCGCTCAGCTCGTGGAACTGCCGCTCGATGTCGGCGCCGAGCTCGTGGAAATCCGGCACGTCGTCCTCCGCGGGCGCGCAATACCCTGAAACAATATCACGACGATATGCCTCCCTCTTTCTCTCGTTCTTTCGCTGCTCGCATTCGATCCCGCGCCCGCGCGTTTTTATACACTTTCACGAAATTACGCGACGGCTCCTTTGGCAACGGCACGGGTGCGTGGCACGTGGCAACGCGTCATCTGTTTTGTCACGCGTGCACGCTCGCGCGTACGGCCGCGAGTCCAAAAAAGCAAAGAATATTATTTTAAGACTCTGTATGGGGTAAAGGCATAAAAGCGCAGCGAACCTCCTCTGAGATTAACTATAGACGGCCAAGCGCGACACTGTCACCGACACCTCTCTATCTCTCGACTCGCGATGCACGACAAAAAAAAAGCCAGCACGCGCGAGCACGAGCAATCTAATGGCAGAGCTGATAATCTCCGCAGGAAATCTCTTCCTATCGAAATTACACGCAACATGAGAATGCTAATATTGCTATTGCAAGAGGTGCGGTAATGTCGTATGCATAGAAATATATCATACAAAATTCTATTCTATTCTATTCTACAAAATTTTGCAAAAAAAAGCGATTGCTTCAGTTTACTTTTCTTCCTTTAAGTAATAGTTATTTTAAGTAAAACAAATTTTTTCTTCGTGTGATAATCTTTAAATATATTCATCAGAAATTTTAGAAAAGCTCATTATTATTATTATTATGTACTTAAAAGAAGAGTTTATTCTCTTTACAACAGTATTATGAAAAACTTATCAAAGAAAAAATTAATTTGTCTCTACATAGAAAACAAATCGAATTTTTGTTTTAATTTAATATTTAATATTATATAATATATACGTCAAGTATTAATATTAATCTTTGTAACTTTTTCAAATTAAAATTCTAATATAGTATATTCTCTGATGAAATATATAAAATTCTGATAAAGTATATTTCTCAAATTAAAATTCTGGAAAAGTACATGTGCGAATAAATGTGCAATGAATAAATGTGCAATAAACAAAAAAAAGTAACACACGGCTATGATAAGCGCATAAGATAACTCACAACAAAATAAATTAGAATAGATTTTTACAATTGCTGAGATTCAACCTCGGTTGAAACAGTTCCATATCTGTCTCATTTAATAAATTGTATTTTCACCGAAGGAAAGCTGTAATGGAACTTGTCCCAGAGACAAGATCTTGCTATTGCTAGTGAAAGTTAAAGGTCATGTTTTATCTTCACGGTATACTTTCTACATATGGAAAGAACGACGCGTAAGCAGTCTAACCGAGTAGCAAGTTCGTGCTCCTTATCGCATTTCGGCCAGGTTTTTTTTCATCGAAGATACCAATTGAAGTTGCTTGTTAAGATAAAACATGCTAAGAATATGATACGATACCATCACGATAAAGCGCGATACAGTATAATCGAAAGGATATTCGCGAGACAGTGAGTGATTCGAGATTGATTAAACATGTGTAATCTTCGGCATGCATCATGAACTCTTTGATCCTAAAGAACTTTATTTCAAATAATCAAATCGCACTAATTCCGCAGCATTAATTATATAAAAACTCAAAGAGATTCAGTACTACGTGCCCAAAATTCAATCAATTGAATGTATCTCTGCTTAAAAAATCCGATAAAGATTGACAAAAATATGTGCAAATTTTATTGAAGTATTCTTTGACTTTATCTGAACGTATCATTTCTATCAGGAACTGCAATTTCTTATTTCAACTCGAATAACAGTATTATCAATTTCTTTTGTTTTATATATAATTTATTTTTAACGATCGGATGTTTATTTGAATATATCGACTTATTTCAACTCGAATAACAGTGTTATCAATTTCTTTTGTTTTATATATAATTTATTTTTAACGATCGGATATTTATTTGAATATCTTTCTATGTGTGATTTTATCATTCGTTATCAAAAACACGATTCAGTGACATAACAATTTTTCTTATGCAATTCTATCAAATCTTTTAAGCAGGAATTCATTATTACCTGTACTTTCGTTGTGCACGTTGTGGACGTCGTTGATGAGAAGATGACACACCGACTCAATCGGCACGTATTCTTGTTGATTGTTGTCGAAGTTCATGGGAATTCTGGTCGCCTGGTGCGTGTCGTTGGACAATGTGTCTTCCTCCTTCACATATGTTTTAGACAACTCGTAAGGCGGATGGTTCGTTTTCACGTCTTGGCTCTGCCGACGCGGAATCGTTGGATTTAATCCATGCGCTGTTGCATTGTTTGTGGCGACTGACATGGGAATTTTATCCGACGGCGACAACAAACTAGATAATGTACTGGAGTTTTCTGAATGATTCTTCAGATGCTTTCTGAGACTCGATGGATCCGTATAACGCTTGCCGCAGCCGCTCACCTGACAAGCGTATGGCTTCTGGAAAAGGAGAGGAAGCACGATTAACGTTATCAATTTTATATGCAAATTAATTCGGAGACTTTTCCAAGATAAAAGTGGAAGTTATTTTGCATGAAAAATGATTAACTATCATTGCGGTTGTACATAAAGCTGCATAAGTAAAGAAATATCGTACTCTATCATAGTGCGTTCTTTGATGTTTGGCCCGATCGCTGCTATTACTAAATGCTTTCGAGCAACCGTTGTGTTGACATGCGTAAGGTCGTTCGCCCGTGTGCGATCGTTGGTGAATCTTCAAGTTCTCCAAGCGGCTAAAGGCTTTCTTGCAGCCCGGGAACTGAAAAGTCAAACGTAAAGATTAGTATTTCGTCGACAAACAATTTGTAAACAGATTTATTTATACAAAGAGAAACGACAAAGCGTAAAAACCAAATTAACTGGAATTAATAACAGGAAAAAAACGGGGCAAAATTGATTATTTTTTTCAAGAGAAACAATTTCTCTACGCAAAAAAAAGAATAAATCAGCGGTTATTTACCAATGAACGGTCATTCACCGTTGCACCTTACCCTGCCATGCAAGTGTCATACCAAAATCAGTAGGGCGACCGATAAAATAAATATTAAGAAACCACCTTACACACATATGTAACATATGGTGCTACAAGAATATTCCCCTTCTTCTTTCATGAACGTCTGTTTCGTTTGGGATACTCTTTTTTCCTCTTCCTACCTCTTTCTCTAACTTTTTATCTCGCTTTTGGGAGCTCTCATAAAAATCGTCGGTATCTCGCGCATCATAGTGCCTAAGCTCGATTTCCTCCCTGCTCCAGTGTTATCGTAGCTGTTATCGAGAGATTTGCAACTAACCGTGAAAGTTATATTGAGAGGTCGATGATGAGAGGTCGAGACTGACAATAACGTATATAATTGAGACTGACAATAACGTATATAATTAAGACTGACGTATATAATTAAAGTAATGAGGGGCAAACGAACAAATATAACGACACTAACCGTACATTTATTCGGCTTCTCGTGGGTATGTACTCGCATGTGAATGAGCAGCTTGTATCTCGCATTAAAGGGTCGCGCGCGCAAGCATCCTTGCCACAAGCAGGCGAACTCGTCCTCGCGACTCGCCGATGCCGTCGGGAAACCTTCTCCTGCTTCTTTAGCTTCTCGCTGCTCCTTGTCTCGGTCCCGCTGCATCCGTCTGCCGTGGCCGTGCGTATTCCCCGAGGACGACTCCACGTGTCGCCTCTCAATATGCCGCACTAGACCTTCCTGCTCGGTGAACGCACAGCCGCAGTCGATCCAGCGACACAGGTAAGTCGATCCGAAGTTGTCTTCCACAGGTTTTGTGCAATCTGTAACGTGATGCACATTAGTATGTTAGTTGAGAACGTAAGTACAATCGCAGCAGAAATTATAAGTGCAGCAATAACATCGGCATATGCATCCTGTTCGTTGCACTTGATATAATATATTCATAGGGAAAGCTAAGATGATTGCAACTATATAGAAAGAACATTCTAGTACCGAAAATTTCTAGTATCATTCTAGTATCTTTAATTCTAAGATGTAAATCTTTAAATGAGATTGCATAATGTTAAAAAAAATAAATTATTTGCATTAATATTCTATAGGATTTTATAGGATTTAACAAGGAAACACACATATTATTATTCAAAAATAATTATCATGAATGGAAGGTACAAAATATTGGATTGAGAATATGTTTTTAAATGTCAGGAGAATATATTACATTATTATTAAGATAATTGTATTGTATTTCTCAAAAGATTATTATAATATTCAATTAAAAAGTGATGACATTGTTGAAATTCATGACTTCAATATTTTTCTAAAAAAATTATATATCATTGCTTATATGAAACAATAATTGTTAATTTAAATATATTAGATTTCAATGGGTACTAATATTTTTTCGATGTATATAGTATTTCTACGTATGTAATATGTAGAATTGTAATGTATATAGTTTAATAAACTATTCTGTAGTTATTGTAACTAAAGTTTTAGTTACATAAAATAGTTTAATAATATATATATTACAATTCTACATAATTCTACATGAAACTCGTATAATTGTCACGTATAGTCATTACCACATTTTTTCTGAGTGTAATATACAATATATTTATAACATTATTAATTTTTATAACGCAAGAAATACAAAAAATATTTGAGACAAGATCAGCATATATATCTTATTTGTTGCGCTTGAAATAAATAATAAACAATATATTTAATTAATACGAAAACACCGAAAACATTTGATACTAAAAATTCACTGCAATTTGGTTTTAATAGTATTTATCAGATTTACTAAAAATATTTAGTAGACCGTTGACCCGCTGAGTTTTATTTATGCAAGCTAAAAATTACACTAAGAACATGAGAAGAAGATAGAACAGTTACATTTAACGCTAAGATACAATAGAAATATAGAATATGTTTTACATGCAACATAAATAATTAAAAGACAACTACGCAAAAATGTCGCTTCTACTAATGAAGAGTCATGTAAAGAAAGTCGAATATATATCAATCTAATAAAACATAAAAACAAATCCTATAAAAATGAAATAAACACAAAAATCAATTAGCCAAAATAAATCGGTTTCAGAAATCTAAATAGCTTTCAAAACTATGAAGTAATTTTGACAAAATATTTTTATGTACCTACAATCCTATCCTAATATTTCAACGATATTAAAAATCGGCGCTATAATCTAGCTTGTTTAGTTATATAGTTCGTTATCTGCTAAATCTGTTTCTTTCACGTCGATTCTAATATCACTAGAATATTAGAAGTATATTTAATATAAGAATATTAGAAGCATTATTAAGAATAAGATTGTAGATGTATAGGAATATTGAGTCAACATTATTTTATACTTTTTAGAGACTTTTAGGGTTTTTAAGAGCGAATTATATGGAATTTCTTTTTTTTCTCTCTCTCTTTCTCTTTTAGGATTTCTAAGGGCGATTTATATATTTTCTAAATCTTATATTTCGTACTTTTTAATTATTTTTAATAATAAAGATTAAAGTTGATTAAAAAGTTTTTCGGTTAAAAATTAAAATTTTGTTTTGTCTCTAGATATTCTCGGAATTTCAAGAAAGTAATGGAATTATTCAATTTCCAGATCATCTGGGCAAATCGAGTTTTTATATTTAATTCAATAACTATATAAATAACATACTAGAATAAGCCACAAAAAGTTTCATCTCAATATCTCTAACGATTATCGAGTTACAACAGAATATACAAATATAAACATATATAGAGGTAAACTGAGAAGTCCTTTTTTGAAGTCGGTTAAAAATCAAATGAAAATTATTGATGATGCAACAAACTCACCATATGACTTATTGTTTTTTTCATTCTCTACAGACGCGGCGACGCGTCGGTTTCCAAGCAGCAGACCCTCGCTGCGCGGCAATATCACTTGGTTGCCGAAATTCTCTGTGGAGCCGCCGACCTCGCCGGCGAAATTGATCGTCGACAGCGTAGACTGCTGCTGTTGCGACGAAACGAGATGTCCGACCGCATAATATTGGCCGTTGAAGTTCTGGAATGATTCCTGGTGAAGGTCGTCGGTGAGGCAAGACGGCGGCGACGAGGGCGAATCCACCACGCCGCTCAGCAGCGAAGTCGGATCGCCTCTTATCAGACTTAGGTCGAACTCATCGCCGACGGACGTCTGCGCGGACGAGGAACCGTAGTGCCCTGGAACGTTGTCATTCTGCATGCTCATCAGCAACGACACTACATCCTCTTGACAATCCTGGTAGTCCTGATAACTCTGCGACTCGACGCTATACTCTGGGTAAACCGTGTTGCAGAACGTGCGCGAGAAGGAAAAGGCCGAGCCAACTGAGGGTAGCCTCTGAGCCAAGCATTCTGACTTGTCCTCCGACCCATCGTCCGTCGTTGCCATTGGATTGTTCCAGGTCGGCGTGATCGCCTCGCTACAGGTACTCTCCGGTGATCCGTCACCGGTAGAGAGATACTGAGAGGGATACTGAAAGATAGTGGGCACTTGATCCCAGTCGAGATATTCGCGCGGGTCCGCGCCGGAGTCCAACGGGGAGAAAAGGCTGTCGGACTGCGATGTCGCCCAACAGTGTGGCTGGCCCACGCCGATGCTCATCGTGGTCAACGCCATCGACGTCACCAATTGCGAGGAACTGTCGTCCGCGAAGTCGTCCTGCTCCAGGCCGGTTGACACCGGTCGTCGTACGTCCTCCTCGCTTCTCTCGCCGTGGTAATCCTCGAGGTGCATCTCCTCCTTCGTTCCGGGCTCGTCGTCGCGACGCGTCCGGCAGCCTGCCGTCAAACATGGCGATATTAGTGCAACGCATGGATCGAATTGCGAAACTGTGATTTTGTAACGTCACTCGCTCGCGCGGATTGAGAAAGCCATCGTCAGACGTTTTCATGCTTGACCCTCTTCCCTCCCTCGTCTCGCGTTCTCTCTCGCTCGACTATCAGAACTCGCGTTACTACGTAAGGCGTGATAACGGAGCCGACAAAGCCTCCGAGGCATCGAACATCCACGGATGATGATAGCAATGACGCGAACAAACTTACGGATTAACGCAGATCGTGTTCAAAATTGGCAGATTGTCGCGCGGTTCCGCCTTCCTGTTATTCTGGTCTCTTTTTCCTGGACCTCGAGTTAATTGAAGACTAATTAAAAACTGGATAATGGAAAGCGTTCGCGTGTTCCTGTGCTTCGACGATTAGTCGCAATTAATAGGACGCTCCTTTATTCACACGACCATTGACGTAATTCCGCATTATCGAGCACGCACCTACGATATTTCTATGCTACGTTACACCTGCGGAGGAAAAGTCACAACTGCAATAGGACACTAATATTCATAACGTCGCTGTATCGCGCTGTATCGCAAATTTTTAGGCACAACCGAAGGAAACGGTATGGTTGACTTTGCGCCCGTCAATTCGCAGATTCAAGCAATATCCTCCCTTTCTCTCAACAACAGTTTTTCGACAGCTAAGCTGCAGCAGTTGTGACTTGATCTCCATTAAAGTAAGCCACGACACGACGTTGCTTCACCATGTTTTCGCCTCCCAAAATTTTCGCAAGCTCCTCTAGATCTCTCTTTCAACATCGTCCATGTACGTACGCGTCAAAGGCGTTATCGTACGAGTCAGTAGTTCCTACCCGCACACCCCGTGCGTTCAGGACAGAGCGAAATACAATCAAACACGAAGCACAACAACGAAATCTTCCGCTCGCGAGGAAACATAAGATCACCGCGAAGAGACCAGACTTGTGTATCATGCCGTCGCTACGAAGATAGAAAGCTGTCCGGCACAACAACGGCTCGCTCTCCACTGGGGGGCCGGAAGTAGCACAGAAACTGAGAAGAAGCGTATTCGAGAAGCGCCTTACCGCGGTATCAACGTATCGACATGTACGCGCCGATTGCGCGGACCACTGGCTTATCGCGCCGGTCTTTTCCGTTGGAGGGTACGCTCGGTGGCACGCGCGTGATAGCGATCGCGAGAAACAACAGCCGAAGAGACAGAACAACAGCGCGTCGACGGCAACTGCTCCCGATAAGAAGAAGACGGCTCGCGCTTTCGCAGCACCGATCGTATCCGCGTCTCTCTCAAGACTATCACAGCGTGCCGAGACGACGCTTTTCCTCCAAGGAGCGGCCCGAGAGGACGAAGATCTTCTCCCCTCCCCTAGCGGTCTAGCCCTTCGTCGGCGTGGCTCTCCTTCAAGAGACTGGAGGGCGGAATATTGTAAGACAACAACGACGCCGGCCACGGAGAGGGCATGAGAAGGCAACACGCGCCGCCCACTCGCGTGGCCGCATCACGTTCCCCTCGTTCAGGGTACGTTGCACTTGCCACATCGCGGCTGCACTTGTCGTTGCGGCGGCACCAACAGCGGGGGTTTCGCCGCCGCTGCGGTCTCTCTTCGTGGCGATCGGGGGTGGTGGCGGCCGGCAGGCGCGCCTGAACATCTGCCGGCGCGCGTAATACACGCGCGTCGCGATCGACGTCCTTCTCCTCCTCCTGTTGCTGCTGCTGTTGCTGCTTCTTCTTCTTCTTCGTCTTCTTTGCGACGAGGCACCGACGCTTGCCTTCTCCTCCGTTGAAGATTGTCGCGCGGTCATTCATGATTTCGCCCACGCAACATGCCGCTACCTTCTCGCAAACGTCAGCCTAGAAAAAGTCAATGAATTAAAGAGAGAGTCATACACGTTGGAGAAATTAATTCCCGACATGATGGAGATTCAAAGGAAAGAATAAACATAATGCAACCTACTTTGTTCGCACACGAGAAACTGAAATTGAATCTTCTGGTAGTACGCACCTCTTTCTCTTATTGCACTGGCCGTTTTGATAAGTGTTAGTCCTGAAATCAGAAATTGGCTTTAAAACAATTGAATTCTTATCTCTAATTTTGACCTTTTAAAGCCCAGACATCGATCCCGTTCGAGTAGAATTGTTTTCTTCACAAAATAGTCTTAAGACATATTTCTGAGATGAAAGGTTTAAATAAATCTGACCGTCGATAATTACGATTTTCTGAATACACATAATTATGTAGATTCATGTTTGCACGTTTCTGTTTGAAATGTGATGAATACAAAACGATAACACATTACATAAGGTTTAGTCTGAATTTCAATTTAAATCAATAGTGGTCTGTTCTTTTCAGCTGCATTGCTGAACTGGTGCAATAATTAAAGTGAGACAAGTATATTTTTTCTCACTCTAACTTATTGCACCAGTTCAGCAGTGCAGCTGAAAAGAACAGACCAAAGATGATGATTGATTCACATTGAAATTCAAATGGAATTTAACGCAATCTTATCGTTTCGTATCTATCATTTTAAGTGCACAAAAGCGTGCCTCAGCTACAGAATTTAATAAATTTTATAACCATTGTAATAAACATAAAAGCGGCAACCTTTTATGATAATATCGATAAAAAATTGAGAAAATAAAATGTTTTCTTACTTTTTTCGTAAAAAATTACACTGTTTCGAGCATCAACGATTCTGCTTTGTACATAGTCGCCATATTGGTTTCTTCAGTAACAAGATCATTGTTTCATGAGTAAGGACGAAAAATATAACTCTATCTATAGATGGATCGATAGTATTATATCAACAAAATCATTAATTTGCCAATATAAAAAGTTTAAGAAAGATCCAAAGTGAATAGAAAAAAACGTTCAATAGTCGGCACTTTACCTATTTTCGCGATTATTATCAAATATTAAGATGTGTATTTAAAAGAAAACGAATAAATAAATAACAATAATTGGTAAATAATTCACAAATAAGTAATAAATTACAATACGCCTGAATATTTGATAAAATCTCAAGAACGCCAAAAACTAACGCGGGAGTGCTGGCTACTCGACATTTTCTCCTACATGATTATACACAATCTGCCTTAAAGGGTTAAGAATGTGCTAAATATTATTACACGTCACATGCACTTTGATTCGCACGCAATTCATGTTTTGATTACACACCGTCAACATGTTACATTCTGTTGTTAAAATCGTTGAACCATCTTGACGAAGTGTTTGAAACGAGGTAAACCGTATGAGTAAGAGAAACGAAAGATGACAAGAGAAGCCGCGAGAGCGAGAGAGAAAGGGAGAGCGCTCGAGATGATCTTTCGTCGCTCGAGCCCTAAGAATCGAGTGTGGGGGGCAAAAAATGTAAAACCAGCTGCCACACACGCGTCACTTATTAACAACAGCTTCTACGCGCGCACCACATGAGGACAAGTCGTTCACTCCTTGCTCTCCTATTGCAGGCTACTGCATCGTTGTTATATGTATTTTCTCACCTCCCCCATACACATCGTATCTTTCCGATCTCCAACACCTCTAATTTTCGCGACCTAAGTGCGACCGTTTTATCTTACATGCCATAAACATCGATGCGAGCATTCGTTTCATATTTAACACCAAAGTGTCCGATGAAGTCACTTTGACTACTTTAAGTCTTCTTGCTATCGACGTTTCTGTTACTCGTAGTTTTTAAAAAATGTCGTTATTTTTAATTATTTTTAAGGTAGAACACTTGCTAAAGGAATAATAGAAGAGATCAATATGATATTATGATAAATTATTTTATGATTTATCATTGATATCCAAAAAGAGTCATATTGACTCTTTTTTAATTCAGGATTGTGTAAGGATAGTGTACAAACTATTATTTGAGATTTTAGTTTTGTAATTTCGATTAAGTTTATATTTTATATTTCTATGCTTATTCATCAGTCTTTTTGTATACGAAGAAAATATTGTAGTAAATATTATAACAAAATTTCTGTTCGACCTTCGACCATATAAAATTATGACCGAGATTACTATACACTTGTTTAAAAAGGTTATGCACATTTGACTTATTTCTATCAAATTATTACTAATTATTATAATTACTTGAATGTTTTTTTTATATCGTATACCTCAGACATATCAAAGAATTGTATCATTCTTATAATAATTAATATTACAATTTTAATACAGTTTATCTTTACAAAAAGCATTATAAAAAGAAATATAAACTTGACATAATTTTTACAATATTTTCTCTGTGTACTAATTATAAAGCGCAAATAAATAGTAATTGCGATGCATCTTAGTTTCAGTTCAAATTTAAGGTCATTTGATTTAAGGTCACAACATCCAATTATTAACGTTGAATCAATTTTTTTCTTTGTCAACAGATTAATGACAGGAAGACGCTCTCGCAATCTCAAAAAATATCAATATGAGTCACACAATTATATTCCCATTATTGTGAAAGTATAAATTCAAATGACGGAGTATTACATCAAAAACAAAAAGAAAACTTGTAAATAAAATTTTTTTAATCTTTTATATACATTCTCCATTTATGTACTTCGTCCATTTATTAGCATTTATATTTTCACTCTGCATAAGCATTTGCTATACGATCAAATAGAAAAATAGTGCAAAATATAAAAATGCATTGTCAATATCCAGCATCCTCTTAAAGAATGGGTCTGGTTTAGATAACCGAAAAAATAGATTTTGTATGATTTTTTTTCAAAGAAATGAGTAAAAATAACAATATAGGATTTTGATCACACTATTTATCATTATTCTAAATATAAAAAGATTATTTTATTTAAAAAATTTTATCCAGGTTTTACTAAATGAAATGTACTAAATGAAAATAAATTGTACTAAATGAAATGTCGCCAGACGCCTCTAACGAGCAGCATTGCAGCTTGTGTAATAACCTGATAAGAAAATTTAAAAACTGTATTAAATTTTCTGAAAGATGAACCTTTGTTATATAAAAAAGATCGAAATTTAACAAAATGGCGACACTTTGAAGTTATAAGTCATTTTTCTTTTCCCCTCTTTTTTATTTTAAAAATATTAATTTCCGAAATTTTCCAAAATATTTAGATTCACTCTTCTTAAATTTAATATAGTTTTTAAATTTTTTGTCCCATTTGTTTCAAAGTATTGCATATGCTGTAACGTTGTCCACCAATTAGAAGCGTCTAGCGACATACAAAAAATTTCGATGGAATTCCAACTTTTTAAATTATATTTTCTATACTTAAAACAATGATAAAATAGTATAAGTATGCTTTATAAAATGATAAAATAGATTAACAATGATAAATATTATAGTCGAAACTTTATTATCGATATCGTTATTCGTTTCTTTGAAAAAAAAAAAGATTCGTAAAAACTTTTTATTTTTTTCGACTATCTGAATCAGAATCTCCCCTTAATGCTACGGTTGTTACTCTAATTTACATAACGTCACAGTAATATGATATTGGCAAGGAAACTCACGCAAACATTCAATGCATCTGTCACTCTATTTCGGTATCGCTGCGATATGATAAAGCGTACAATGTGAAATCTGGCCGATATAGGTGAACAAAAATATTTTATCTACTCGTGCGTAAACATAAGATGCAAGCATATATACATCGTGGAGCTAGAAACATGAGGCAGAACGTGTTTGTCATGTTGCTGTTGTGCGTTTTTGTGATTCTCGCGCGCGAGCGCGGCTCGCTCTGTTCATTCTTGCATTTCTCTTTACGCGGAAAATCCACCCGCTCGCGCGCCCATACATAAAGTACATGCATACGCGTCCTGGGTGCATCTTACGGCCGGGAGCAGTACGTCATATTACGAGTAAGATAAGTGATAGAACGGCACATGTGGTCTGCCAGCCCTCGATGCTTACATTATACATACTACGCCCGCTCACGGTCCTGCTTTTTTACCCAGGCACCTGTCAGCTTCGCTCGTACTATAGTCGCCGCATGTGCGTACGACCCGACCGCCCTTAAAATAAATATACCGTAAAAAGGACACTGATCATGTTCTCCCCCCATACGGATGCAATAACAGCAAAATGAATAAAAAACCCATTTTAAACGTTTAATCGCCCCGTACAGAAAAAAAAGAAAAAAAAGGTCAGAAACGCTTCTTCCCGCCTTCATGTAATCTTGAGCGGCGATTATAACCGCGAGCGTTCTCCACGATACGAATTAATAAACTTGCCCGAACGTCCAATATAAATGTGTACACTTAATTAAAAAAAAAAACCCACTATAAAGTGAAAGAATATATGCATATATAAGTATAATAAACATATATTACAAATTTATACTTTTAGATACATAATTTCAAATAAGTGTGTGCGCAACTTTGTAATGCGTATTCACACGTATGAGAGGTCAGTTTTTGCACAAAAAAAGAAAACGAAGAAAGAAAAAGAGAATCTTTGTGTAGATAATCTTTACTATACAATAGATTCAACTTAGTGTGTGAGTATACCTCACGATTATCTGTACACACACACTTGACTGTATGTAATCGTACACATACACAGAGCCATCGTATGGTAAAACGGGCGTCACATAGGGCGTATTGAAAATAGCGTGGACCGTCGCGTCGCGTACGTACGGAGATACATGTCGGCGAGCGTTTAGCATTCGGTCAAGCGACGTAAAAATAGAAAGACGCGCGCTCTGCATGTGACTTCGTATAATTAGGTACCGAACTCGAGAAGAGCCCGTGTTGCGCTCTATGTTCCATACGTTACAAACATAGTCCATTAGAGTGTCTAACGACGGACCACCCATTCGTTTTTTTTCCCCCTCTTTCTCCCGTAGGCGCAGTTACGGATATAAACTCTTCCCAAAACGAGAATTATGTAAGCTCTGCCCGCGCATATATCTATGATTATTTTAACAGCGAGATAATAGCTTGGCTATGATAGCCTATATTAATAACAGTTTTCTCGCAAGTAAGTGTTCGTTCTCGTTCCTGTCATTCCTTCACTGACAAAAATAAAAATGTATTTGTGTTACTTAAAAAACTTACTAAAATATAAAACTTATTAAAATAATATCAAACTTACTACTATCATTTTGTTGTGAAAACACCAACCTAATATGTATCGTGTAGTCTGCAACCTTCGACGTCCAAGTTATACAATTCGTTTGTTGCTGTAAATTGACGTAACGGAATAAAGTTTGTCGTGATCTTCGACAATCGGGAAATGCTGTATACGTCCGCTGCTCCAAGCTATTGTTAGGCAAATGCACGGAGAATCTTTTTGATGAAAATTTATGCAATTTGGCACTTCTACAGGGAATCCTTTGATAAGGCAACTTGGCTGAACCTCCACTATCCGCGATATTTTATTTATACTCGTTTTAAACAGAGCGATCACTGGGCTATCCTACATGATCCAAGTGGAAAAAGCAAATGGTGTTAGAATATTATGAATTGAACCGTCGTTCGTATTTTCATGTATCTATTCGTAAATACTTTACAAACCTGGAAAATTATAGCAAGATATTGCCCTATCGAATTCCATTCCATGGAAACTATCCTACCTCCCACTGTGATATAATCATCATTATCGTCCGACGAGAAATTTACTTTCGTTAAATCGATCAAACGCGTAGCTATCTTTACGTCATTGTTGTTTGCCTTTTTATCCTCAAATATGTTATCCTGCAATGGCAATGAGAATACTGTAGCAGGGTCTTCCGTAGTAGCAAAAAGTAATGTTAAGTTGGGACCAAAGCATGCGACAGCTACACGACCATTGGGCACAGTCCACTTATCCGCGTACCATGGTTTTGAGATACCAGTATTCCAAACTCTGAAATATTAACCTTTTCAATCAGCCAATACATAGCTAATACGTGAATATTATGGAAAAACTATGAAAAAAATAGAGTGTATTCCTATAAATATGTACTACCTGAAAACGTTCCCACATGAAGCAGAGAACAATCGTGAGCCACAAGATGACCAACGCGTGAAACATATGCCACCTCCGCCAACACGTCTCAAAGGTACTCCCTCCTCCTTAGAGACATCCCAAATTATTATATTTAAGTCCGTTGGTGAGCAAGATGCTAATAGATCGCCCTGAAAATATACTTTATAATGTAATTTATGAGTTATAATAAATTGTTGGAGTACAGTCAGTTTTTGTTGGGAGTTTACTAAATTGTCCAAATTGCGAGTCATTACCGATGAGCTTACTCTCAATAATATAAGTAATAATTAAGTTATAATAATAGTAAATAATAATAATAAAATAATTGTTATACAAGAACCTGTTAACAATGACTCTCAACTTGGAGTTTGTTGAGATCCCAACTTCATTGTGTCTGAACAATTTTGCCCAACCAAGTGTATATAATCTGTATTGTATATCAATGAAAAGAAAATTAAGAAAATGGAGTACTTGTGGATGCCATGTGGCACTCGTAACAGGTGCATGATTCCTTTGTTTAAGAAGTACTGCATGACTGAGTAAATTACTGGCTGCACCCAATTCTATTGTCCAAACTAATACTCCGTAATAGCAGGCAACTGCTAATTCACGACCACTATTTGGTCTCCAACTTAAACAGCAAACCGATTTCTGCTCACTATGTCTCAGTATTGGTATAGGCAGTATCAATGATGTCCAGTTAGCATTAGTCGACACTGGTGAGAAAATACGGATTCGATCATCTCTTGTGGCCACAGCTAGACGATAGCAATATGGATGCCAAGACATACACCTCACCTATCACAAATAATCATAAATATGCCGCAATAATCAGACAAAATATTTACAACTTTCTTACAAAATCATCCTACCAGTGAGGTGTTCCAATCTCGTGTAGCAACAATGTCAGCAACAGATCCATCTCCTGAGATTGGTAAAAGATCTCTGTGATATATTCCTCTATCCATCAAGTCTAGAACTTTCTTGAGCCTGAAATTATATCATAGTTTTAATAAAATAGTTAATTTGATAACAATATGAATAAAATATTAATAATTGCATGTATAAAATAAAAATGTTATTGATACTTTGTTGCTATCCAATGTATAACAGTTGTGATCTCCTGTGGATCAGCAGCAGCAGCAAAGCGAATAGCTTCAGATAGACCTTTCTCTCTCCATATACTGGCAATCTTCTTAGAAGCACTGTCATGAACAGGTAAGAAGAGTTCATTGGCACTGACTGTGCGCATTGAGTCACGCGTGGCTGAGATATCTTGCATAAGAGACACTTCAGGATAATTGCGCAGATACTTGTAGAAGGGTTGGTTCTCATCCTGTAATTTGTTGTAGTTGCAATAATGCATGGTATGACTCAGCAAACCAACAGCAGCTACATCACCAAAAGCAGGACCATCGAAGTCGTGAAGTGACAACATTTTCATCATTTTTCTACTCTATTAATATGTCACTGCGACTTAACCTATACATTGAACCTGTACAAAAACATTCAAATTCTTCACATCAACAAATCACAAGTATGTTAAATCATATTGTGCAACCAAGTGTAAAATCCTAATGAAATGTTAATATTTAGATGTCTCGTTATAACATATTTTGAGTATAAATCGATACTTTTTACAAAGTCAATTCACATTGCAACATATCGTTACCTTCAACTTGCTTCAAGTAAAACTTATATAAATCGTAGCGCTAATAAAATGAAAAGTAGAATAAATGCAAAATCAATTTTGTCAGGTAACTATACTCGTGTTATATTTGCAATTGTTTTTTTTTTAATATACGAGATCTAGAAATATTGTATATACAGCATCGACGCACGGAATCCGTAATTGTAATTTTCTTTCAACAGAAGCTATTTACATCGTAAAACAACTAAAAGAACTAAATTTGTGTCTCCTAAACACGCACATAGGACCACATTTCACCAAATAATTCAAAATACGAAAAACGGCACGTGAGTGTTTTGTCTTGCCATACCTCTCATCAGCCGCCGTGACCGGCATAGATGGCGCGGCACTATTTACATCAGTCGTCGCAGCAACGACCTATCGGCATAAATCGCGAGGCGCGCATGCGCGCGCGTAAAGTTCGAATTGCCGACACAGTGCGAAATTGCGGCACCGGGAGCTTCGGTGCTCTGCGCAAATAGCAATGACATTCTGCGTGGATTCACTCGTAGAATCGCGCGATTCGTCCTCCGTCAGAACGGTAATCCACGCTCGCTGGGAACTTCCTCGATGGAGCGCAAAAACGACGTGAATCGGAACAGGTGATATGAGAGCGCGCACGCGGACAACGTATCAGGCACAATGGCGTTACACTTTTTACGTCTGTTTATCCTTTTCTGTGGTGCCGTCGAGTCGCGATATTGTCCTCTGGTACACCCGTCTGGCAGACTCCAAACGCAAGAGAGATACACAGAATAAGAGACGAGCAACAGCTGAGAAGAAATCTGCACCAACTCGCCTTCCTCGAAGTGGAACAAGCGTATACTTGCGCCTTGAAGAGAAAAGGACAAGAGATCTCGAGTGCAGCAAGTGCAGACGAAAGAGCAGATCTATCGACATAACGACGAGGTGCAGGGGGAGGCTAGGCAACACATTGGCAGTGGGGGACGATAGATAGAGAAAGAAAAACAGAGTATAGAGCAAGATGGCAGTGGGGTATGCTATCGGGAGGGGCGAGGTGGGGTCCGCAGTATGTAGTTGCCGTTCGAGCAGCGTGGGTTATATAGTAGAATCGCTCGTCGCGCTTGCGAACCGCGATCTTCTCACGCGAGGGGTTTGTCGTCAGTTAGATACGCGCGCGGCCGCGGCGAAGAGTGAACGGGAGCGCGATAGCCTTACCCCTGGAGTGACAACGCGAGAGGAACCGAACGGACGAACGAGCTACCCGGTGGATCGCGCGGCGCAATGCTACCACCGAGGTAGTGTGTCCGAGAGATGACAATCCCGACTCGTCGAGGGTCGTTTCCGTCCTAAGGGCAGAGGGAGACGACGACGACGACGACGACGACGACGACGACGAAGGGAACGTAAGTCAAGCGAGACAGAAAGAGAGAGAGAGAGAAAGATCATCGTCGCGCAGGACGAGGCGCATAGCGCCGGCAGCGGCGGAGGTGGTGGCGGAACAGGAGGAGGAGGCGGCGGCGACGGTGGTGCGGACGACTGCGAGAGATGGGCAAAAAGGGTTCCAAGCGGAAGACCCGATGGAGAACCCTAAGCATCGGCGGTAAGTGCTCCTCTTTCCGTTTGTCTACTTGCCTACCTGCCTGCCTACCTGTCTTTCTCTCTCTTTCTATTTATCCATCTATCCATCTATCTACTAATTTATATTTATCTATCTGTCTGTCTATTTATCTATCTGTCTATCTATTTATCTATCTATCTGTCTTGTCGTATGTCTTGTCTATCTTTCTTCCCTCTTATACGTTAACACCGCTCGTCGCCTCATCGTAATCTCACGTAACGCGACCGAGCGATTTCACGTCGCGAAAGACATGAAGTTGTGCGGCCGGTCATCGATCAACGCGCGTGCGAGATGTCGGGGGAGAAAGAGAGGGAAAGCGAGGGAGAGAGAAAGAGAGAGAAGAGAGGTCGTATCGTTATCGTAAGGTGCCGTCCTCCTCTTCCTCCTCGCCGATCCTCGCACCGTGTCTCCAGGTCGGTTCCTCTCGACTGCACATTAGCATGCTTTCTATGCCGAGAAGATGAAAGGTGCACGTAGCCTCTTCGAGGAGCGTAGCACAGGGATGAATGGATGAGCGATGTTGCAAAAGAGCAAAAAACGAAAAGAACTCACGGCTGTATCGCGTAACACATGTAACTTGTGTCGTCAGTTTCGGTCGATCGCGGTGGTAGGTGCAGAATGTGCGGCCACAAAAGCGAAAGCACTTTGTCCCTTCCTGGTCGAATCCCTCCGAACGTGCTCTGGTTACGCGGAACGTCCGAGAGATTTTTTTTTAGACTGGACGTTTCTGTGCGACCGTGAGCCACGGATTTGCGAAACCATCTCAATCAATTTTCTACTGTCTGTGATAATAAAAAAAAAAAAAAATGAACGACGCCACTCTGACACAACAAACAAGAACGCAAGAACGCTGACTCTAAGACAAGCAGACTACACTGAGCGATTCGTTTCGTTCGTAGCCACAACAAAGAAACTCTCCTTTCTGCCTTTCGATCCCTTGCAAAAAGCCGCGACTTTTACTTGGAATAACTCGACGCGAGACGAACTGTTTGTCATTATCGACAACTGAATGCTCGACTCGTCCGTAGAGAACAAGCATAACAAGGACTTTCAACTCATCCGCGCATGTTACTAAAAACCCCATAGATAATAGTCTATCATTCCTGTATCGTACCTGTAGCGAGTATTACAATCTAGTAGTGAGTCACATCTCTAGTTATTCTCGTAGCTTTAATATATGCCATAAGTTTCTTTTTCATTACATCTTCATTAAAATAGAGATCCTATAATAAGAGTCTGGCCATCAGAGGAATTCTGGCAAAATTTTTCGAGAGAGAAAAATATATATTTTCTAGAGGGTCTCTAAGAAATATATATCTTTCTCTCTCGAAGAATTTTGCCAGAATTCCTCTGATGGCCAGACTCTTATTATAGGATCTCTACATTAAAACATTGCGTTTCTCGTTGAAACATTCCATCACATTCCATGCATCGTGCCGATGTTTCGCACTTCGCAAAGCTCCGCGAGAGAATCGTATTGTTTGTCTGGCGAATTGTTCGATGTGTCACCACTAAAAATCGAATATTCGGTTTCAGAAATAAGAACTAGAGGACTGCTCACACACATGTAAATTAATATCCAACAAAAATATTAAAGCTGTTGGGAAATAATTCGACGCAGTTTTACTTAATCTCTATTTAGGGATTCTTTCAAGTATCTTCGATCAGGACCACATATCGGACGTTTCCACTAAATCTCGTGAAAGTCGGCAATTCGATGTTTCCAGAATGTCATTTGAGTCGTTTATCGCTATCGATAACCTTCCGCGGGAGCACACGCTCAACTTATTGCGTTTCTTCTTCACGCGAATGTTCATCCCTTTTTTATTTTCTTATTCAAGTGTGATTCTCTTTTTAAATTTCCCATTTAAACATTCCACTTTAATTTTCTGTATTTTACAATTTTAACTAAACTTTCTGAAATTCTCTCTCAGAGAGTATTTCTCATTTCTCGTTATCTGGTCTGAAGTAAGCATTACGATCTACTTTGCACGAGAAAAAAAATTATAGTTGGTCCACACATATGTCTGGTTGTGCCAACTAGATTCAATAGTAAAATACAACTAATTATGCGCTTGTTGCAAGCACAGAACAATTGCTAAGTTACTGGTATTACAGCAGCAACAATATTTGGTTGCTCCGACAAAAGTGTATCCATGGTGTATAAATGATTTCTGGTTGCTACAATCAGATCCCGCGCACTTACATTGATGTAGTTGATATATCAAAGTGATTGAGCCATATCAATCGTATATATGACCATCACACAAAGAAAAATAGAGTGATACAACTATGCAGCTCGCGACTAAATATTTCTACACAGAAAAAAAATATTTCAGCTCGTGCAACCGAATGGAGAGCAGACGAAAACTCGCCGACGAGGAATATTATCTCTATTCCTGTGATTGAAAACATTTATCTGAACATGTAGTAGCATTCACACATGGTTGAGGTAACTGACAACAATTGGCTGAGTTGAAATCTCCTGCAAAGATCTTTTTGTCATTACAAAAACCTTTTCGTCTGCTCTCCAGATAACAGAAAATTCAGTCACACTATAAAGTCTAATCTACAATCTGCTCTTTACTTCCTGTTTCTTGTTCTCTGTCTTTTTCTGATCTAAGGCTTAAGCCTGATCTACAATATGCTCTTTGCATTCTGTTTCTTGTCTTCTGCTTTTTTCTGGCTTAAAGCTTAAGATTTAAGTCAGAAAGAGATAAAAAGAAAGAAGCAGAAAGCAAAAAGCATATTGTAGATCAGGCTTTAAGGTTTAAATCGGAAACAGATGGAAAGAAACAGGAAGCAAAGAACACATTGTAGATTAAACTTAAAGGAAGTTTTGTTTCTTTTCCGTCGGTTTTGCGCACTATCTTATTTTTTCGTGCGTGCCAGCCGATGGCATCCCGCGAGTCTAGGCTGATCGAAATAGACACGCCGTCCCGTGAGTGTTCTTTCCGCCGGTGAATTCGCCACGATGTTGCATCGGGAAGTATACGTACGCCTTTCGAGTCCGACTCGCGACGATGCATCGATCCGCCGCCACGCCACCCTATCTGACTTTCCTCCGCCGTAACGTATTGTACCTACTTACCCGCTTAGGCGTACCGTGTAAGATCACGCTCTACGCGCCGACCTTTTCTCGTGCTTGCGCGGCTCGCTTCTTTCTTCAAGACGAACTAGAGACCGCTAGACGGTGTTTACTTCGCGGCCTATCCTTCGTCAGAACTCGTCGATAGTAGAACTTCGATTTTCCACCCTATTAACGCCTCACGGCGTGACTTCGAGTATGAATAAAAGAGCAAAAATCAAAGTCGCTCGGGATTTTGCGAGCGACGACGAAAGTAGATGAAAGCGAACGAGTGTCTCGTTCTTCTTTTTTATTTGCGCAAAGATCTGAATACTTCAGATACGTGAAATTATTACAGCTTAGAATTTTACCCACTCTACATGCTGAAGCTTACACAAAGTTGAGATAAAGCAATGAATTCTTTCATGCACACCTCCAAACTGAACCTATCAAACGTTGCGCGAGTAACTCTAAAGTATATCACGGGAATCCACATAAATACTTACGAGAAGGCAAACGAAAGTGTCTGAGTCGTCGTAAATCGTAAACGCTGCCCGTGAAAAGACTCGTAAAATCTATCTGTTTCGAATGTAGCAGCTGCGTTTAAACGTAAACACACTCGTCTACGTGGCTTATTCCTAAAACGAATTACAT